AAATATTTACTATTTCTATGATAAGATTTTTTTTAACTTATTTGATATACTTTCTCAAATTATATCAAATTTATCTTCACTTGTTAACTCATTATATTTTATATGAATTTAAATAAATAATAAAGATGTATCACTTTTTGTGAAATTTCCTACCTTATGTAGAATCTTTCAAATTTGTTTATCACTAATACCATAAGAATTATATTGGTTCATCTTTAATTTTTGTTTAATTCATAATATATATTATTAAAAGTTATTGCATAAAATTTCTTTTTGACCCTAATTATACTCTTCAAATCAATTTTAATGATAGTAAATTATTAAAAAGTGTTAAAAGAAGAATAATTTTACTCTACATTAAATAACAAGGCCTTGATAGTATAAAAAAATACAAAATTCTATATAAAATTAATTAGTTTGCATGATACTCTTAAATGGCTAAATTTGTTAATAATTAAAGAAAAGAAAAGAAAATGTCCTATCATGAACATAAGATATTTGATAATATAAAAAAAGGAAAAATCTTACGTTACAACCTCAAATTTACCTCAAATTTTTAATTAAGTTCTTAAATTTTTATTAAAACAAATAAACCATTAAACTTGTTGATTTGGGCAATTTAACCATTTTTCTTATGGTGGACTTAACACCCATTTGTGCTTTACTTACATGGTTAAGATCAATACCTACTTATAAGCAATAACATATCAATACTTTATTCATGTAAGTAATGCACAAAACGACATTAAGTTTGCCGAGAAAAAAATGATTAATTTGCTCATATCAACAATTTTAGGGACTTATTTGTTTCAATAAAAGTCTAAGGGCTTAATTGAGAATTTGGGATAAGTTTGAAATAATGTAAGGTTTTGACAAAAATAATTAAGGATAAGTAAAACTCATTTAATAATATAAAATTTCCAATCTTAATCTTCTTTAATTGTTGAACTCCTCGTTGCCACCTTGCCCTTGGTCTTAAAAAGCCAGCTAAATTTTGGTCTTAAATGAGAATTTACAGAAGGATATGTCCAAACAACCATGTTAAAGTTGATTTTTTTTTTTTTTGAACAATATTACATGAGGCGGGTTGAACCCTGCCCAGGGGTGGGAGAATGCATCAGGTGGTCGGAGATCACTTGGCCCAAAGGTCCGGATGCACCATGTTAAAGTTGATAATTGTTCGAACTGCTGACATATTCATTTTAGGTTGGACCAAGCTCAACACGTCGGTCGTTAGTCAGCGATACAAGGTACATCTATCCACATGTATAGCACTGGATGCACTTCCTCGCAAATCACTCCTGATGCACCACGTCTTACCCCACAAATTACTCCAACCCAATCAAGTGAACCTTATCCACAAATATTTTAAACTGAATTTTTTGTGCTGAATTTGGGGTTTTGGGATGAGGGGTTTTCTCTGGGTGTGGAATGTGTTTGGATAAGGGTTTAGAGTTTTTGACTTATTGTTGGGACCAACTATTGAGAGTGGAGTTATTATTTGTTGGGTCTCAATATCCACTATTTGGTCTATTGAAATAGGATTGTACTTTTAAGGGATATAAATTTATGACAATGATTTTTGTTACCAATATTATGTTAAATATATTGGTAATTACCATTTCAAGTGAAAGATATTTGTTAGTTGGTTTAGGTTTTTTTTTTTTTTATTTGAAAAATATGATAGAATAATTTATTAATAAAATTTTATATTTAATATATTCATAATT